GTTAACTCAACCGAAAATTCCGCCCGGCACACGTGAGTAAAAATGACGCGATAGCGTCAAATTACTCAACGAAAATCCGCCTGCACACGCTGAGCCTAAAATGAACTCCATGACGTTCATTTTACTTGAGTAAAATAACCACGTGTGCGCCGGTACATCGTGTGCGCCGGTTATTCATGCAATACATCAATCATAAGATTAATCATAAGAATTCAGTGCCTAATTATCCATGGAGGCGTGCTGTTGATGAAATCTCTGTGCATATAATCCTAAATTTGCGCTAATTTCAATTTGCGAAACATGGTTGTTTCGCGTGAAATGAATAATTCGGATAATATGTCTGTCAGAGAGAGGATGCGGAGTTGGCCGTACAAAGTAAAAATATTACTCCTTATCGCGATCGAATTTGACATGTTAAAGCTTAATGCTCAGTTTATTGCCGTAACTGATGTGATAAGGCGACTGGACATTGCGGACAAAACGCGCATCTGTGTGCTATTTCAAATTATCAAAAGGTATTGAAGTTTTTGCTATTTTATAGCTAAGAAGTAAGGATTATAAAAACTGTTTACTACTATCGATCAATCGCATTGTTCTCGAACGACTCTCATTATGGTCGATTTTTTCATGAATGACATTGACAGCAGAATGTGCCTATTGCTGTATATTGTTGTGGTTGATAATTCCCTGGAATTGGCTAGAATTGTTGCCAGACATCTATGCTTCTATCGCTAACTCATGTTGTTTTATCCGCTTTAGGTTTAAGCGTGAGGCACCACGGGTAAGATGAAGTGGCAGATGCCCCACTACAGTACGGGCCCTATTAAATTCTGTTTTTAGAGCCTGTAATGTATAAAAAGCTCAAACCATTTTTTAGAGAAGTGCGTTATTGAAGTTTTAGTGTAGTTATCAGTGTATTGGTTAGGATGGTAATTAATGCTATTGCCGTAGAGTACGCTTAATCCAAACCCAAAATGCTATTTTGGAGTCATGAATAATTAGTGACAAGAAAAACTACGCGTGCCAGAAAACATAATAAAACATTAAAAAGCTTTCAAAATTATTTTAATGGCACTCACGACCTTGACATAAAATTCATTGAATCATAATATATAATATAATATAGTATATATATATTATACATATATATATGCATAATATATATACGTATTAATGATAGAATATTATCTTCTGTTTGGTCCGCGCCGATTTTCCTATCACATGAATTTTTATGTTAAGCTAATGCACACAATCCAATATTTGGTGAACGTATAGTTTATATCATCATTTTCATACCCAAAAATGGCAGAATGTTTGGTTTTGAATGTATTATATCATTTAATATATAATATATATATATTTTAAGTATAGAGAGAAATAGATAGATAGATAGGAATAGACTAGACTAAGATAGATAGGATAGATAGCCGTAGATAGAGATGAGCATAGATAGATAGACTAGAATATGATTAGATTAGATAGAAATAGATAGATAAGATAGAATAGCATAGATAAGAATAGAATATGATAGGATCAGATAGACTTAGATAGCATAGGATGAGAATAGATAGATAGATAGATAGATAGATAGATTGGACTAGATAGGTAGATAGATACATAGCATTAAATAGATAGGATGACATAGTATAGATAGATAGATACATAGGAGTAGATAGACTAGATAGCATAGAATAGATAGATAGTATATGATAGATAGATACGGGAATATCATAGATAGATTAGATAGATGAGATAGATAGATTAGAATAGGATAGATAAGATAGCATAGATAGGATAGATAGATAGAATAGATAGCATAAGAATAGATAGATAGATAGATAGATAGATAGATAGATAGATAGATAGATAGATAGATGGATAGATATCTAGAGGTAAATATATAGCTGTACATATAGTAGTAGCTGTAGCAGTATATATATTAAAGCTAGATAGATATAAACAACATTGTTTCACCGAAACGATCACGAAACCAACTTGAAACGAACTATGACGACTATTTCCAATAAACAACTCAAAACTTAAACTGTTTTTTATTGCTCCAAATAATTATGTGCAGTGGAAATCTTGACGAGTTGCCGATGCAAATTAGTAAGTGCGTACGTGTCCCTGTCTGCGCTGTGTAATGCGCGTGCACGTGTTAGGCGAATTTGGCGCGCCGCTGTTAAGTGATGTGTTTTTGGCTGCCGCTAAGGTAAATCCTGTACTAAAGGATGTACTAGAGGGATGAGCAGCTTGGATATATAGCTGGATTTCGTGTATGTCGATTACTGTCCTTTGTCGATTACTCCGGTATCGTATATAGCGTCTTATTTGGCTTTTCAATTGAAATCCGTTGGTTCTGGAATGCCGCCAAATGTGTTCGCCTGCGAAAACGTGTTCGTCCGCCGAAAACGGTGCTTTCGTGCGTGATTGCTGCATTCGTCCGTGTGAATGTAGATGCATGGGTAAATGTGTGACCGTGGATAGCGCCCCAAAGTGTGCTCCGATTTCGTGTCAGGCGACCTACCCTCTCCCCGTGATTGGTGCAACAACTGTTTAACAGAACGACCCCGGCTTACAATGTTTAGAATATATAGACCGCGCCCGCAAAACAGCGAACACGACACACACCGGCACCCGTCGCAGCACTCACGGCACTAGCACGCCCACACACGCCACACAGCGCCTCTCACACGGCCGCCCGCGCTCCACACACAACACACGGAATGCGGCAGCGCCATCACACACACCACCAATGCAGACATACACGACGAGCGAGCGAGCGTCGACACACACCAAACACAACACACCTTCATACCACACACACACATACCACCACACACACACACACACACACACACACAAACACACACACATCACACACACACACAACACAACTTACGCACGCCAACGCACGCGACGACACACAGCGCACGCCCACGACACGCACACACACATACGCAGCGCACACCACATAATACAGATCCACAATAAGTGCCTAATAAATGCGTAAGATCTGCGACGCCGCCAATTTAACGCAACAACTATCTTTCGAGACAACACAAGATCAACTTAATCAAACATGAGACATACCTGCGTTTTATTCTGCATCAATGTTTATGTACAGTGAACATCCTGGACAGAATTTTGGGGGGATATGCGACCAAGGGAAACGGGAAATCGTTAAAACGTGGACGCAACAGTCGTCAGAGGACACGACTCCTTGATTGCGATTGCCAATTAGTAAGTGGTTACGTTTGTGGCACTGCATGCTATGCGCTTGCATGCGTATCCCTGTTCGAATGGATCGAGACGTGTTGCGGCGGCGCACGGGTATGTGTTATGCGGACTGAATCGGTAGGTATAATGGAAAAAAAACGATTTTGAGTAGCATTAAATAAACCCTTTTATTTACAGAATTCAAACAAACACATCTACGATATGTAAAACGTGCGTCCAAAACCAATTCATCGTTTAAAGACTATTTTTAAACAAGCATATGATAATAAAAAACGCACAGACGACTTTCATTCTTTATTAATGTTTATGTGCAGTGGACGTCCTGGATAATATGCGACAAGGAAACCGGAAACGTCGCGAGCGCCACTCCGCTCAGAGGACGCCTGCTTGCTGAATGCAATTGAGTTAAGTATAGTTTGCTAACATTCAATCCAATCTTTCATTTCTCAGTTTCAGCGTAATACATATCTAATTACTAATCAATAAATATATCCTACCTATATCTATCTATACTACTTATTAGTTATACTTAATATACTTAACCTATAATACTATAGTATACTATATATATATAGTTATATATCCATGACACATCACAAAGAGTACGCATAGATATAAGTATAATAATACTAGTATATATATATATATATATATATATATATATATATAGGTGTGTGTGTTATCGAATAAAAAGGTAGTACTTGGATAGGTGGGATAGATGGATAGGATATCATTAGTGGTATAGTACCTCCTCGGTAGCATCATTATTGATACGTATTTTAACAAACAATCGTTGAATGGACTGACGCAATGCATTTTGTTCTTATAGTGGATATACTTGACGATATGAGAGCGGGAAAACATTAGCGCATGAAGTACCGATCCTCCTGGTGAGTTGTTATGTCATGCGCTGAACTATATACTCATCTGAAACTATTTACGTAGAATCTATAGCTTTGTTTCAGCGTAGTCATTGGGATAACTACGAGCATGTCTGTGTCACCACAGTGGCAATAGTTTGCAAGCAGTATTTGCCAGCGTTTCTATTTTTCTCTTTCTATTCTTCTCTAATTTTTCTATTAAATGATCTGAATGAACCGAAATCTTACTAGTGACATAACTTCACGTGCATATGGAATAATAAATCAGCGTTGTGATTAAATGCGTACCGACTACGTTTTACCGTATAATTCTCGTTTTTGTAAGGCTTACAGGTTACATTGATTCAGAATAACCATTGTGCCATTCTTTGTTGTACTTCTACTGAATAGGAAAAATCTGCATTTTAATCACCGAATGGCTTACGCAAAACGGACAACTTACCAAGAAATGCATCATTTGCTAGCAAGCGCTAATGCCACCACTGACGTGAATAGGCGTTTTTCATCAGTAATAGTTATCGTATAAATGTAGTATCCCTTATCGGGCAATATAGTTCAATCAGGCAAACCGTAATTTTAGTTTTCCCCGTGACTCACGTTTAAATTATATAACGATATTTTAAATAGCTGTTAGGATTGCTTCTATAATTTCGGCACAAATTACGCTAAGATCAATGTGCACTACCATGAAATCATACACAAATATAATGACTTTTTAGACGAGTAAAAAATGGTTTCATAGAAAATATAGTTGCTGCTCCAATTGTTTAAATCTATGTAATGGTGATCAGCCCTTGTATAATAACAAGGTTATTTTACATCCGTTTCTTTGTATTTAGCGTCCTTATATATCACAATATAGCGGTTAATAAATATTCAAAGTTCAAGTAAAAATTTCATTAGTTCAATGCGTTTTACTCATATTGAATTTTTGTTTGTTCTTACTAACAGTAACGTACAGCATAGGATGTGTTTTACTTACAGTGAAGTGTCGTGTATTTTAGTCATCCAAGCAAACAAATATAACCGCTGTAAGATGCGCTGCAATACATAATAAAGATGCTATGTCTTCGTTCTACGTACCATACACATCTCTATCAAACATTACATATCACCAAATATGTTTACGTATTTAAATATATATATATCAAGAGTCAATAATAGAACATTTTGAATTAATAAGAAATAGAAAATTTTCTATTATTTACTCTTGATGTATATATATATATATATGGGAAATAGCCATTTACATACATACATTACATAATACATTAATTACATAATTACATAATACATAATACATAATACATAATACATAATTACATAATACATTAATTACATAATTAATTACATAATTAATTACATTGAATATATATGGTCAACGATATGGTTTATGTTTACTAGTCACCCAGCTGGTTGTATTCCAGAATAGAATATGCCCCACCCACCAGTTAAACGTAAGAAAGCTGCGGCAAATATGCCATAGAGTGTACCAATACATGACGTAGAAAACCTTCCTCATATGTCGAGGATAGTTAAACTTGATATATACGGCCTTTCTTTAGACACGGCCTCTGTGCGTTCGAAATATACCCATAAGTAGGTATTACGTATAAAAATGCGCATTATGTTTACAGAAAAACAATTTGACTGTACACATGTAGCAAGTCATGCAGATGATGTTACAGCGTTTTACCTCAACAAGTTGCATTACACCCCGCCGCCAGGATTTTATTCGCGTATAGCTGATGATCAGTACGAACGATAGAACACACAGTGACTGGAATACGTTGGCTTTACTCGTGCGGGACAAACATGAACACTATAACTATAGGTGACAAATAAGGTACGTTGACATCATACGACTACGCGTTAGCTATGTAGCCTTGTAAGCGTTCTACCGTTATAACATCACATATATATATATATATGTGTGTATATATAATTATATATATATATATATATATATATCGTGTAGGCGCGTGCATGCGTGCGTGTGTGCGTGTGGGCGTGCGTGCGTGCGGGCGTGCGTGCGTGCGTGCGTGCGTGCGTACACGTGTGCGTGCTTGCGTAATTGAAACGTATGACGTCCAGTCGATTATCAAGATAAAATATATAACACGACACTATTTTCTACTACTACTACTACTACTACTACTACTACTACTACTACTACTACTACTACTACTACTACTACTACTACTACTACTAGAAAAAATAACAATAATAAATAATAATAATAATAATAATAATAATAATAATAACATATTATTAATAACAATATTATTATTGTTATTGTTATTGTTATTATTATTATTAGTGTTATATAACGCGTGCTAACGACAGCACTTTTACGAACTCTCACGTGTCGACTTCGAATCTCGGGACGTCTACTATTTCACGGGCACGCAAATGTCTGTGCACTGCAGAGTATCTAGCTTGGTGGAGGCGGAAGAGCTAAGCCCCCGCTGACAGAGGCAACAGCAGGAGGGGCAGGTGCCACCCTGTTCGTTCTGTATCCAGTCACAGAGGCGCCAGGAGCGTTTGAAGGCTCTTCCGCGGAGTGGATCATGTAGACCTATAGAAGATATGTAGTATATGTAAGACATGTATATATATATATATATAGAAGATATGTAGCGTATATAAGACCTGTAGACATATAGAAGATATGTAGTATATATAAGACCTGTATATCTATAGAATATATGTAGCATATATAAGACCTGTAGACATATCAAAGATATATAGCATATATAAGACCTGTAGACCTATAGAATATATGTAGCATATATAAGACCTGTAGACCTATAGAAGATATGTAGCATATATAAGACCTATAGACATATAGTATATATGTAGTATATATAAAACCTGTAGACATATCAAAGATATATAGCATATATAAGACCTGTAGACCTATAGAATATATGTAGCATATATAAGACCTGTAGACCTATAGAAGATATGTAGCATATATAGGACCTGTAGACCTATAGAAGATATATAGCATATATAAGACCTGTAGACCTATAGAATATATGTAGCATATATAAGACCTGTAGACCTATAGAAGATATGTAGCATATATAAGACCTGTAGACCTATAGTATATATGTAGTATATATAAGACCTGTAGACCTATAGAATATATGTAGTATATATAAGACCTGTATACCTATAGAATATATGTAGCATATATAAGACCTGTAGACATATAGAAAATTTGTAATATATATAAGACCTGTAGACATATAAAAGATATGTAGCATATATAAGACCTGTAGACCTATAGAATATATGTAGTATATATAAGGCCTGTATACCTATAGAAGATATGTAGTATATATGAGACCTGTAGACATATAGAAGATATGTAGCATATATAAAACCTGTATACCTATAGTATATATGTAGTATATATAAGACCTGTAGACATATAGAAAATTTGTAATATATATAAGACCTGTAGACATATAAAAGATATGTAGTATATATAAGACCTGTAGAAATATAGAATATATGTAGTATATATAAGGCCTGTATACCTATAGAAGATATGTAGCATATATAAGACCTGTAGAAATATAGAATATATGTAGTATATATAAGGCCTGTATACCTATAGAAGATATGTAGCATATATAAGACCTGTAGACATATAGAATATATGTAGTATATATAAGACCTGTAGACCTATAGAATATATGTAGCATATATAAGACCTGTAGACCTATAGAAGATATGTAGCATATATAAGACCTGTAGACATATAGTATATATGTAGTATATATAAGACCTGTAGACATATAGAAGATATGTAGCATATATAAGACCTGTAGACCTATAGTATATATGTAGTATATATAAGACCTGTAGACATATCAAAGATATATAGCATATATAAGACCTGTAGACCTATAGAATATATGTAGTATATATAAGACCTGTAGACCTATAGAATATATGTAGCATATATAAGACCTGTAGACATATCAAAGATATATAGCATATATAAGACCTGTAGACCTATAGAATATATGTAGCATATATAGGACCTGTAGACCTATAGAATATATGTAGCATATATAGGACCTGTAGACCTATAGAATATATGTAGCATATATAGGACCTGTAGACCTATAGAATATATGTAGCATATATAAGACCTGTAGACCTATAGAAGATATGTAGCATATATAAGACCTGTAGACCTATAGTATATATGTAGTATATATAAGACCTGTAGACCTATAGAATATATGTAGTATATATAAGACCTGTATACCTATAGAATATATGTAGCATATATAAGACCTGTAGACATATAGAAAATTTGTAATATATATAAAACCTGTAGACATATAAAAGATATGTAGCATATATAAGACCTGTAGACATATAGAATATATGTAGTATATATAAGGCCTGTATACCTATAGAAGATATCAAGAGCTAATAATACCTAGAGTGTACAACGGAAAAACGGGAAAATAGTGCCATTTCACGACTACATTATTCTACTTTGCCTGCGAGTCTAGAATAATTTCATGGTATTGCATTAAGCAGAATTCCTTGCTCTCTACAACAAGACCAACCGCTTGTCAATACGATACTCCTAGGCGGAGATATCGGCTCCTAAACCTCCCCTCCCACATGCCTTACGCCGCTTCGCATCCACTTTATTCAGCAACCTACACGCGTCTACAAGTAGTTACAAGCGTTACAAAGTAGAATAATGTAGTCGTGAAATAGCACTATTTTCCCGTTTTTCCGTTGTACACTCTAGGTATTATTAGCTCTTGAAGATATGTAGCATATATAAGGCCTGTATACCTATAGAAGATATGTAGCATATATAAGACCTGTAGGACCTGTAGACATATAGAGGATATATAGCATATATAAGACCTGTAGACCTATAGAAGATATCAAAAGCTAATAAGATATGTAGTATATATAAGACCTGTAGACATATAGAAGATATGTAGTATATATAAGACCTGTAGACATATAGAAAATATGTAGCATATATAAGACCTGTAGACCTATAGAATATATGTAGAGTATATATAAGGCCTGTAGACATATAGAATATGCGAAATACGGACTTGATACGGCCTCTCTTGACACCGATCTTCTTAAACACGACATGCTCTTATGTAATTAATAACTAACGGTTAGAGGATATGCCACAGATTGCCACATGACGTCATGGGAATCGGGGGCGCTGATTGGTTGAATGAACGCTGGCAAATCCACTAAGCCGATGGTATTTCATTAAAGTTCGATATTATTGGCGATATTAAATTAACGTTGTTATTACCTTTGGAGCAAATATTAGTAGGAGCGTAATCGTGGCCGGAACTTGTAGCTGAATGACGTGTAGCATATATAGCAAATCGGGACCTACAGAGCCGAGTATTACGACCCTGAAAAAAAGTACACGTATACGTCTTCAAAATCGATATAACCCGAAATGTATTCATAAGTAGATATGTTAATACCAGGAGTAGATAATAGGGATTCCCTATTATCTACTCCTGGTTAATACAGATGATTAAGATAAGTAAATCCTCGCTCTCTATTCTACTGTGTTTCTAACTTATACAGAAGATGTGGGTGGCCTGGTGTAACTGTTTATTGAAAATTGAAGTTTATCGTGCAGTTTTTATATGCCTCATCTATTTTCCAACGGAAACTGACCACTTTTTATGCTTTAATGCGACAGTTGTTTTTTTTGCTATGGTAGTAATGAAGTAAGTATGCATGGCGCATAGAAATGATGCAGTATGATGTAACCTAATTCAATATATTTACCTGATGATAACAATGAAGTTGTTCATGAATATTGTGTTGTAAATGGCCCATGATATGAACTTGCTCTCGTTGAAACTAGATGGCGCTTTTCTGACGCTGTAGCACAAGTACACGCCCCATAGCAGAAATGTACATTGCCCTGATATGAATAGAGAAATATCCGTATATATTCATCAATGAACCTTGACAATTCTCAAAATGTCTAATCATCTTAAAACTATACGGTGTAATTACAGGGAGTGCTATCCAGCACGAACATAGTATAAACTTGTAACATTGGGATAATGCGCCTGGTGAAACTGCGTGCAATGGCTGTGGACTGATGTGATGATAATATAGATATCTAGATCTATATTATAGATCTACAATCTCTACTTTAGATCTACATTATAGATTTTTGTTGTAGATCTATATTATACATTCCAAATCGTATGTTCTTATACGACAACATATGCGCTACAGGAAGCGAAACGAAACCTGGTAGATAGATACATAATGAACGTATAACTACTGACTATGAGAATCTTGTACGAATAAAAAAACGACAGTATAAAGTACCTAGCATTGTAAGCATAGCAAGTAACCGCGTATTGTCACCAATCGTGTGAATAGTAGTATATCCTGAGATCGAAGTCTGGTAGACAGATGAATAGATAGATACATGAGGAACGTACTGGCTATGACAATCTTGTACGAATAAAAAACTACTGTGTGATGTACCTAATGTAGCCGCGTACTGCCACCAATCGTGTGAACAGTAGTATATCTTGAGATCGTCCTGGTTCTTGATAGTGATGGCGTAGGAGGGACTGCCCAGCGTCCATGCCAATAGATAACCGACGGCAACAGTGCAGATCGGTATCAGCCGCTTTCCGAGATCTTTATCGCCAAGCTTCAGTTGCTTAGCTGATTTCACTTTGAAGATTTGTGATACCCTAGTATTGATTAAAAAATTGATTGGCGATAAGTGATTCTATACCACTAATGGTAGGAAACTATAGGATACGTATTGAATGATAAATTATCTTCTTTGTTTCATTGTATATATTCGTATAGTATATATGCATTAATTTATTCGCTACTTTTGTACTGGTACTGTTTTTGGTATTATTTCTTACTTTTGTTACTAGTTATCAAGAGTACATAATAGAGATTCTCTATTATGTACTCTTGTAGTTATCAACCGCCAGGGGCGTGTACAGGGGGGGGGTTCAGGGGTTCCGGCCCCCCCCCCTGCTCGCACAGAAAACGCATCTGAGGGGGTCTAATTTCAAAAAATTTATGGGGGAGGGCCCCCAGACCCCCCCCCTGCTACAAATCCTGTACACGCGCTTAACCGGAAATGTTGGATAACGATTTGGGCTGTTCAATTATTTCTTGGATTCGAAGAAAGATTACTTTCTTTATCCATTCGTGTTTTGAACAACAATGTACATGTACATGATGTATTGTAGTATGTGTATGGCAATATACGTTCCGGTTTCTAAGGAGCAAGACAACCTACCTCCACGTCCGAAGTAATAGTGAGCCGTACATGAGAAAAAATCCGAAATGATGAAACCACGGTGCCGTCATGCAGAGTGCATCCGACGGCTTGAAGAACAGCAATATGACGTCACCGCACATCAGCAGCGCCCCAATTGCAATCAGGTAGCAGAACAACGGGCTCGCCGCCTTGATGATCTGGGGGTAAACATCAGTATATATATATATATATATGAGAGCTTCCGTGGGCCAGTGGTTTAGCCTCGTACACTGTCCACTGAAGGCTGTGAGTTCAAACCCCTGCCGGGTCAGTAAATTTTCTCAACGTGTAAAAACCTGGCTCTCAACATTGGAGACTGTGAATCTCCCGTGGCTCGGATGACTACGTAAAATGGCGGTCCCGTCTCCAGTAATACTAAGACCAATGGGGACGGAGAAGAACCACTGGTGGCCCAAAAAAAACTCTGGCTGTGACCACCCTCAGTGCTTTTTGGCTAAAAAACTAAACTATCTGGCTCTACCCAAGCTTGGTCACACCCCAAATAGTTATAGCCCAAGCTATGGCAATCAAGCAACAAGATTTATTTGCGGCCGTCTCAGCTAAGCTGTGCCGTCGATCAACAGGACTTCTTGCCAAGGGACGCTATCCTGCGCCATATAGCGTCGTCATCGTAGGCGTAGCCTCGCAGTTTAATATATAGGGGCCTATATATATATATTCTGTGTAATGCCCGTTTCGGTCTCCTAGGCAATTATTATTATTATTATTATTATTATATATATATATATATATAGATAAATAGATAAAGTTATACGGACACGGTAGTAATTTTGACTCTGTTTATTGCATACAGAGCTGTTTCGTATGGAGCGAAGGCTCCATACTCATCAGTGCCTAATACAGAGTGATCAATTTAAAACATCCCGAGCAGTATAAAATCATCATGCATAATGTGTTCTATTGTTCGTATTTATGCGTGCGCGTTCTATAGAAATACCGTAGATACTAATTAGCGCGTCATTGTCGGTGACTGCTGCGCGCTGGCGCTAAACTGAATTCATTGTAAGAGTTGACAAGTGGCCACTATTAAATCACTTCTGGTTCATTACCTTTTAGAAGTTCTACATATTGTGCAAACCTGAGACCGCGACACGAACTTATTAGTAAATGCAGACATAAAGATAAATTTTTATTAAGAAACGTTATGTGAACTCTTACAATGAATTTAGTTTAGCACCAGCGCGCAGCAGTCACCGACAATGACGCGCTAATTAGTATCTATGGTATTTCTTTAGAACGCGCACGCATGAATACGAATAATAGAACACATTATGCATGATGTTTTTATACTGCTTGGGATGTTCTGAATAGATCACTCTGTATTCGGCACTGATGAGTATGGAGCCTTTGCTCCATACAAAACAGTTCTGTATGCAATAAACAGAGTCAAAATTACTACCGTGTCCGTATAACTTTAGCTATTTATCTATATTTGCTCTACTCATGGTAGTATTGAGCACTCTCGACTGTAGGTGTGCGCGTTCATTTGTAGACGATTTTACTTACGATTATTTTTATCGGGTGATCGTTCCAAATCAAACATGTTTGATTTTGAGCCGATTATTTGAAACGATTTTTTTGAACAGCCAATAGCTGAACGTGCCCGTGTCACATGACATTCAAAATGGCGCCTACTTGATATTGCTGATTATACTTTATCGTAGGTGTGCGGGTGTTTATCGGAAGGCGTCGCGATGAGCCGATTTTACAAACGATGAAGAGATTTTTTAATCGGACCGATTTTTGGGTAGGTGTGCGACGGCCTTAGACACCGATTGCGTACAGACACAGAGTTGGAGCGGGATAACTTGGTGCACACTAAGATAGCCCTGCTTCGTAAGGAAGCCAACTTGGAGCGGTCCAGCCCGTATTTGGAGCGGGATAGCGTGTACACACTGCAATTTTTAGCGGGCGTTATACGCGCGTCTAACGCGCGCTGATGTAGTACCATATCAAATTCGTAGTCTGTACGGGTATTAAAACGTCTGTAAAGTTTTCCCGACGCAGACGCACTCCTAACCGCAATACTCATACGTAGGCCTGCTCGATGCATTTACACTAGGCATAAATACGTGAATAGAGCGCATCTCCACTGATTAGTCATTAGTGCATCCATCATTTCATGCATACTGCTGTTTATAACTGGTCGAAATATATATACTACGATATGTTCATCTTTCATTGTGTTATTATTCGTCCCACGCCTAGACTGCCAGATTTTATATCACGTTAAAGCGGCGAGCATTATGGACAGCTTACATCGTCTAGTAATGCAATAAATATGCATTTAATATGGTCAGGGGGTATCTCAGCATAGATTTATGTAATAAATTGTTATAAGTAGACCTGTGTTGATAATTAGTAGAGCGCCCTAGTCTGTATGGTGCAAAACTCCTATGCCATCCCCTCGCGTTCTGCTCCTTGCCTCCCTTGTCCCTCGCCTAGCCCCATTGCTTTTCTATCGCCATCAATTACCTTTCCTACCGCCTTCCCTCAGTGTCTCACCCCTCTGTCTACTTCAGCGAGTTATATTATGCAGTTTTTTCAGTCCGTACTGTACACATGAAACGGTGCTCACGCATGCGAAATATTTCCCGTGAAGAATAATATTTTGCGATAAGTATGCATTCAATATGAAGAGGCGGTATTCTAGCATAGATATATATAATAACATTTCATCAGTAGACCTCTGTTAAGAAATAGGAAGAAGACCTTGCATGTATGGTACCCGCTGTTTATACCAGTTGGTACACAATCTGGCTACGTTGGTGTTAGCGCATGCGATTTATCTCACCAGAGGAATCATATTTTGTGATAAATATGCATTTAATATGGTCGGGGGGTATCTCAGCATAGATTTATGGAATAAATTCTTATTAGTAGACCTGTGTTGATAATTAGTAGAGCGCCTTAGCCTGTATGGTACAAAACTTCTACGTCATTTCCTCGCATCTTGCTCCTTGCCTCCCTTGTCCCTAGCCCAGCCCCATTGCTTTTCTATCGCTATCAACTTTTTTCCCTACCGCCTTCCTTCAGTCCCTCACCCCTCTGTCTACCTCAGCAAGCTATATTAAGCATTTTTTTAGTCCGTACTGCACGCTTAACACGGTGCTTGCGCATGCGCAGTATTTCTAGTGAAGAAGAATATTTTGCGATAATTATGCATTTAATTTGAAGAGGAGGTATTCTAGCATAGATTTATATGATAGCATTTCATCAGTAGACCTCTGCTAAGAAATATGAAGAAAACGTTGCGTGCATGGTACCAGCAGCATATACCAGTCAGTACACAATCTGTCTACGTTAGTGTGTTAGCGCATGCGCATTATCTCACCAGAGGAATCATATTTTTTTATGGATATGCATTTAATCTGGCCATGGGATATCTCAGCATAGATTTATGTAATAAATTGTTATCAGTAGCCCTGTGTTTATAATTCGTAGAGCGCCCTAGCCTATAGGGTGCAAAACTCCTAAATCATCCCCTCCCGTCCTGCCCCTTGCCTCCCTTGTCCCTCGCCCATCCCCATTGCTTTTCTATCGCCCATCAACTATCTTCCCTACCGCCTTCCCTCAGTCTCCAACCCCTCTGTCTACCTCAGCAAGCTATATTATGCTCTTTTTTTCACTCCGTAATGTACGCCTGAAACGGTGCTCACGCATGCGCAATATCTTCCCTGAAGAATATTATTTTGCGATAATTATGCATTTAATTTGAAGAAGAGGTATTCTAGCATAGATCTATATGATAACATTTCATCAGTACACCTCTGATAAGTAATAGGAAGAAGGCCTGGCATGTAAGGTGCCCGGGGCATATACCAGTCAGTACACAATCTGACTACGTTAGTGTTAGCGCATGCGCATTATCTCACCAGAGGAATCATATATTGTGATGGATATGCATTTACTCTGGCCATGGGATATCTCAGCATAGATTTATGTAATAAATTGTTATCAGTAGACGTGTGTTTATAATTCGTAGAGCGCCCTAGCCTATAGGGTGCAAAACTCTCAAGTCATACCCTTGCGTCCTGCCCCTTGCCCCCCTTGTCCCTCGTCCAGCGCCATTGTTTTTATATCGCCATCAATTATCTTCGCTACCACCTTCCCTCACTCTCCGACCCCTCTGTCTACCCCAGCAAGCTATATTATGCAGTTTTTATCCGTCCGTACTGTACGCCTGAAACGGTTCTCACGCATGCGCAAGATCTCCCGTGAAGAATATTATTTTGCGATAATTATGCATTTAATATGAAGAGGAGGTATTCTAGCATAGATTTATATAATAACATTTCATCAGTATACCTTTCTTAATTAATAGGAAGAAGTTCTTGCATCTAAGGTGCCCGATGCATATACCAGTCAGTACACAATCTTGCTACGTTGGTGTTTGCGCATGCGCATTATCTCACCATAGGAGTCATATTTTGTGATGAATATGCATTTAATATGGTCAGAGGATATCTCAGCATAGATTTATGTAAGAAATTGTTATCAGTAAACGTGTGTTTATAATTAGTAACGCGCCCTAGCCTGTAGGGTGCAACACTCCTAATTTATCCCCTCCCGTCCTGCCCCTTGCCTTCCTTGTCCCTCGCCCAGCAAACTGTATTATGCAGTTTTTATCACTCCGTAATGTACGCCTGAAACAATGCTAACGCATGCGCAATATCTCCCGTGAAGAATCATATTTTGCGATAATTATGCATTTAATCTGAAGAGGAGGTATTCTAGCATAGATTTATATAATACCATTTTATCAGTAGACCTCTGTTGAGAAATATGAAGTAAACGTTGCGTGCATGGTACCAGCAGCATATACCAGCCAGTACGCAATCTGGCTACGTTAGTGTGTTAGCGCATACGCACTATCTCATCAGAAGAGTAATATTTTGTGATTAATATGCATTTAATACGGTTAGGGGGTATCTCAACATAGATATATGTAATAAATTGTTATCAGTAGACCTGTGTTTACAATTAGTAGAGGGCCCTAGCCTATAGGGTGCAACACTTTCAAGTCATCCCCTCCCGTTCTGCCCCTTGCCTCCTTTATCTCTTGCCCAGCCCCATTGCTTTTTTATCGCCCATCAACTATCTTCCCTACCGCCTTCCCTCAATCTCTCACCCCTCTGTCTACTTCAGCAAGCTATATTATGCCGTTTTTATCACTCCGTAATGTACGCCTGAAACGGTGCTCACGCATGCGCAATATATTCCGTGAAGAATATTATTTTGCGATAACTATGCATTTAATATGAAGAGGAGGTATTCTAGCATAGATTTATATAATAACATTTCATCAGTACATCTCTGATTAGAAATAGGAAGAAGGTCTGGCATGTAAGGTGCCCGAGGCATGTACCAGTCAGTACACAATATGACTACGTTAGTGTTAGCGCATGCGTATTATCTCACCAGAGCAGTTATATTTTGTGACGATTTTGCATTTAATGTGGTTACGGGGTATCTCAGCATAGATTTATATAATAACATTTCATCAGTACATCTCTGATTAGAAATAGGAAGAAGGTCTGGCATGTAAGGTGCCCGAGGCATGTACCAGTCAGTACACAATATGACTACGTTAGTGTTAGCGCATGCGTATTATCTCACCAGAGGAATAATATTTGTTTATGGATATGCATTTAATATGGCCAGGAGATATCTCGGCATAGATTTATGTAATAAATTGTTATCAGTAGACCTGTGTTTATAATTAGTAGAGCGCCCTAGTCTATAGGGTGTAAAACTACTAAGTCGTTTCCTCGCATCCTGCTCCTTGCCTCCCTTCTCCCTAGCCCAGCCCCATTGCTTTTCTATCGCCATCAACTTTTTTCCCTACCGCCTTCCTTCAGTCCCTCACTCCTCTGTCTACCTCACAAGCTATATTATGCAGCTTTTTTCAGTGCGTACTGCACGCCTGACACGGTGCTCGCGCATGCGCAGTATTTCCAAAGGAAAATAATATTTTGCGATAATTATGCATTTAATCTGAAGAGGAGGTATTCTAGCATAGATTTATATGATAACATTTTATCAGTAGACCTCTGTTAAGAAATATGAAGAAAACGTTGCGTGCATGGTACCAGCAGCATATACCAGTCATCGTAGCTAATTTTATACGGACGGGTGGACGGACGGATGGACGGCAAATCGATGTAAGCAACAATGAAAATGTTTACACGAAACTCACGCGCAAAACTTTAATGGCAACCGACAGACGAAGTGATATAACAAAGCAAGATGAATTAGTATACGTTTATACATGGCTCTATAGGAGATAATATAATTATGTACCCTTGTGGTAGGTAGACATAAATGGGTGCCACGAAATACGTCGTCCGTTGTCCCCCAACTTTCATTGCTTTCTGGATCGCACTGGTTGATGTCAATATTCGATAGATCTATGTCAACCGTTGCTACGCCACTGCGTCCAAATAAAGGCATTTCCATAAAAAAAGGATAGTACAATTTCCATGCATTTTGATTTCCCTTAACGCGTAATGCAATACGATTTTTGCGGGGTACGACAAAAACATACAAATGTTTACTACGATGGAAACAAACTCACGCGACTTTAATTGACACAAGTGCTAGAAAAACCACTTCGTCGATTTAGAAATAGATCACGCGTTCTCAAAAATTTAATAGTGACAAATTTACACACATATATAGAAGCATCGCAAGCATCAATCAGTCTGTTTCGAAACCATATTAAGATTGCCTGTGCTGGCGAAACATGAACACATTATCGAACGCAATTAACGTTATATAGTAACCTGAACGTAGTTAGCGAGCTGTTATTCGGATCCGGTGCAAACATTGGCGATGAATAGGTGACCATCCAGATATCGCCTCCGCCACAATCAAAGTAAGGCTTCGTCCAGTGACCATCATCTAGGTTTACGTACGGCTCAAAGAATTCTTCGAGGCCAATATGAGCATTCCCAGTTTTGTTATATCTGCGCAAATAAGAATGCGTATAAATTCGTGATGACATCATAGAAAGGTGTTTGCTACGTCGTTTAGATGGGATTGCTGATTGCGTAATAATATCCGTACATAGTATGTAATAATATATCATAATAAGGAGTGTCATGAGTCTGTATATATTCTGAGGCTGTCATATTTCTGACATCTTCTCCTGATAATATTTCATCTTGTTGACTATAGTGATTTCAAATTCCATTTCACATATCGCACCGTCAATATACACCGTTGGAGTTTGATTCATTATAAATATATACATTCAGTTCACTATCAATCATCCCAATTCTTTATCATTGCTTTCCTTATGATTCTAAAGCGGGAAACGGTGGAGGAATAAACCTACCTCCTTTTTTGATTTACGACCCGTAGCCTCTCATCATATACTTTTTCTCTCGGTACATGAAACCACTCCGAGTCTAGCTGGTCAAGATAATTATAATTTACTGCCAAATCGTGCGAGTTCGTCTTGTTTTGCGCCGTGTATGAGTAGAACCCAACCTAAAATATTGCGTGAATGGATATAAGCTAATGTGACTGATTACGGATAATATTTCTGTCCGATATTTCGGCGTGAATAAATAAATAAATATGTATATATATATATATATATATATATATTCCAAAACAACGACAGACGATCGCAAGATGCAAATAAATGCATGTCTATTTGCCACGCAATCATGTGTAATCTCAAGTGCCCGCGATTCAGCACGTAATTAATTATGAAAAGAATCGCTTAACGTTCAGCGATACCAACCGGCTTTGCTCGATGGAAGTATACGAATATGATTATCGAAATAGCCAGCATCACGTCTCCAATGACTACAATGAGAAGCGTCACCCGAAATGGAACGTTCGAGGTAGCGATGCATGGTGAGCTATCTATGCAAATGTCGCATCCCTCGGAACAAGGATTACATACAAAAGCTGCAACAGAATATCATTTCCTAGTATTAGATGGCTGGCACGAAGACATTGAAAAGCCTCGTCCATATACAAGATTACTATCAATCAATTTGTTGTTCGTGCACAACTCCTAGAAACGAGGTCATATGGCGATCTGATTTCATATTATGCTATAGCTGAGTTAGCTTGCGAAATAATAAATGAAATAGCGTAAATCGAGAAAAACAACCACGAATCCTATGCAATCGAGAGTCAAACATAGTTAGA